GATGAGCCAAGCATTCTTTGCAGCACGCCCCATAAGAGCTGCTCGATCCCTAAGGAGCGTTTGACTCACTAGGGGGAGCTGTACAGTTGGGAAGGGCAGGAAGCAGAAGAGGTGGATCCCTTAAACCACATGGCGGAGTTGGGGAGTCTGTCAGTCAGGAACAGTCTCCGCTCAACCGACAGCCCCCCGCAAGGACTTTGGGAGTTCATTTCCTATCCTCCTGGAGAAGTCTGGCCCCTGACCTCAGGAGGCCCCCAACCAGCCTCGATTCAGTGACAACAGAGCCAGTGTTTACTTGGAACAAAGCACCATGGGGAAATGAAAGCTGAATCAGAACTGCCCCCGCAGCCTGGTGAAAACACTCAGACATGTACACATATCTAAGGAGAGAAGCCCCGAGAGACGGCCTGAGTGGGGTGAGCAGGAAGTCATTTCTGGCAGGAAGATCCAAGTCCTGGAAGGCTTTCTGGAGGAGGTGGTATTTGAGCTGAGCCTTGAAGGAGGCAGTGAGAATTTGTTAGGGAGGGGTCTGGGGACATGTGTTCTAGGTGGAGAGAGCTGATCAAGCTGAGGAAAGGAGGGAAGCAGAAAGGGTCAGGTATGTGGCTGGAGAACATGTGGGCAGGACAGAGAGTGCATTGCAAGGCCAGGCATGGGCTGGTCATAAAGGACCCTGAAGATCTCCCTGTGGTGAGACTTTATTCAGGCAGAAGTAGGGGTCTCTGGAAATTAGGGAGCAAGAGAGTGACATGCCCCAATGTGGGCAATGGGGAGACTAGGCTGGGGGCTTATGAAGATGGTTGTGATGGCCCTGGGGACCCACACTGCATGGGAGCGGTGGCAACGGGGATACTTGTGACAAGCAGAATTGCGTGCTCCCCTGGGTGCTCTGCCTGAGGGAGGGGTGGGGAGGTGTTCACCATAAGGCCAGCCCAGGCAGAGATCAGCAGGCAGTGGGGGAGCAGAAAGGGGGGACAAACCAGAAATAGAGGGAATTGCTCACATGTCTGGTCTCAGTACCATGCCACATCCACATCTAGTTCCCTGCGGCTTCTAGGAGGAGCGGTGGATACCAGAGTCACCACCTGAGGTAAGCAGGTCGCCGGTCCTCTCTGACCTGGCCCTTAATGGGTGCAGAGCACAGAATGTACAGCAGACGGGGCTAGCGAGCCAGTATTCTGATGGAAAGCACCCTTAATTCCATGTCACCTCACTCCTGCGTCTAGGTGAAATGAAGAGAAGGAGCTTTGGGTCTTAGTTATGCCAGGAATGAAACATTTATTGTATGTTATTATTAAACTAGTATTTATTTACCATGACCGTATTCCAGACACTGAGGGGTGTATTTCATTCCCATAATGACCCTAGGTGATAAAGTAGGTTATCCACCCTCCCTACCTTCACAGATGAGTTTAGAGAGGCACAGGGAAGTGTAGTTTCTTGACTAAGGTCACACAGCACACCACGGCACACTTACCAACACAACAGAATACTCTCCTTCAGGCAGAGCTGGGCTAGAACAGAATGTTCTGTGGACTTTGAAAAGATCCAAGCCCAGAGCCATATGTCTATATGGATATCAGTGTCTACCACAGTATGAGAGGAAGGGAGGCTGAGAGGAATAGAACTTAGCCTGGCTCTTTCCCCCCATGTAGGGCCCGGGCTGGGCTTGTCAGGCTGCACCAGGCCCCCAGTGAGGACTCCTCCATCCAGAGCAGCCGCTGTCCTGTGAGGCTGCCTCTGGGTGTGAGGTCTCAAGACCTGTGTGGTTCTGATCCTGACTCAATCCTGACTCAGCCCAATGTCCCCTGTGACTTGGCCTTCCTACTCCTCTGAGCTCTAGTTTGCTTCTTTGAGAAGGGGCTGGTAGACTAGCTGACCTCCCAGGCCCTTCCAGCTGGGCCCTTGACGGATGCACAATCAGCTTGTTCTTTAGTGAAAGGGCTGGGGAGGTGGTGAGTATGAAGACATTTGGACTTTGCTGCTCTTGGGAAACCCCAGATGGAATTCAGTGTTGCATCTAGAGGGACCCACTGACTGCATGAGGTCTCCGGGCCTCCCTGTCCCCTGCATGTCCAAGCACGCACATGCACATGCATGCATGCATGCACTTCTCTCCCAGTGCCAGATGAAGTATTGAACAGTAGATGTTGGCTCTGTCCAGGACCCTCCTGCCTTTACACAAGAACAGCACCCTGTCTGTCTGCTCAGCCTGGGGCCCCACTGTGCCTCCACCCCCACCCGACCTCACCCATTAAGAATGCTGGGGCCCTGGGAGCCATGATGGATGCTGACAACAGAGCTCAGTGTTCTTGGCCTGGGCTGAGACCACCCGCCTCCAGGCCCCTCCCCCATCCCCTTCTGCAGGAGGAGTATAGAAGGGCAGTTCGGTGTCATGAAAAAACACTGGGGACCCAGAGGCAAGTTCCAGAGGCCCTTTGGGCTCTGCCCCATGAGCCTTGCTTTCCCATTGGGGAGATGTGGGCCAGTGGATGGAATAGTTATTCTCAAATATCTGTTCTATGACGTTTCAGGGACATGGGTAACCTTGCCAGACTTAACAAATAAAAATACAGGACACCTAATTAAATCAAAATTTTAGGTAAACAACAAATACATTTTAGTGTAAATATGCCTCAAATTTTGCATGGGACACATTCATGCTAAAAATATTATTCATTGTTTGTGTGAAATTCAAATGTAACTGGGTGTCCTGTATTTTGCCTGGCAACCTTAGATCTGTGTCAGGTGTGTGCCAGAGAGCCAGAGGGGAACCATGCCAGCTCCTGCCCTTCTGCTCACCCCCAGGGCACCAGTGCCTGCCTGGTCCCTTCTCCCCAGCCTTCCCAGCCTCTGAGGTCTACCCCTCAATCTCCTCCATGCCTTCCCCAGCACCCCCATGTCACTCCCCAGATATCCTCTTCCCCTAACTCACCCATCTCCCTCTCCTGTAAGGGCCAACCTCTGTGGGGCTCTAGGCCTGGGCACAGTGGCAGTGGGTGTGGTAGAGGTGAGCTCCTCACCAGGCTTTGAGCGGTGACACCACGAGGCCAGGGCAAGGATGGGAGGGCCTTGGAAGTCCAAGTTTGCAATGACTTCACCAAGGAGGCAGCAGATTGGGCACTGATAGGAGAGGACTCCAGCACTCTGGACCAGGTCCCCCTTGGCTGAGGGGCAGGCTGGGTCCAGAGCCAAGTGCAGGGGCTTGAGGGAAGAGGTGTCCCCCAACCATTGCACACTCCCTTCTCCAATCTCAGTGTCACCAGGAAACTCGAATAGAGAGGTCATTCTCTAGGGCCAGACCCCAATTTCCCTTGGATCAGGAGACTTGCAGATTCTGTCCTTAGGGGCCAAAAGGGCCAAGAGATGGTGAGAAACAAAGACAGGGAAAGGGGTGGGACGGAGAGACCAGGGAGAGAGATACTGGGTGAGAGAGAGAGACCAAGAAGTTGATGAGAAAAACTCATATAGACACAAGAAAACAAATGGAAACAGAGAAAACCGGACTCCTCAACTGCGACAAACAATAAACAGAAGAAAGAAACAGATGGGAAACAGAGGAACACAGCGAAAGGGAGAGAAACAGAGTGGAGAAAGTGATAGGGAGAAACTGAAACAGGAAAATGGACGGGAAGTAATGGAGAGGAGGCAAGAAAAAGTTTAACATAGAACAGAGATAACAGGACTGGAAAAGATGAGAAACAGAGATAAAGTGGTGAGAGAACAAGAAAAAGGGGCCAGAGACCAGCTGTTCTTTCCTATTAACGTGGGGATATTTTCCAGTGGCAAAGTCAGATTTGAGACACAGCAGAAGACGTCTGATAACCTAAGGACTGAGCATCTGCTGGAACTCTCCCCCGCTTTCCCAGGCCAAGGAGCGGCACCCACCCATCATCTCCATTGCGCTCTCTCCCCAGGCGTCGGGGCTCCATCTCTCCAGCTCCGGCAGTGTCTCCACTTGCCTCATCCATGTTTGGGCGTCTTGTTCTCATTCTGCGCCTATCACCCTTCGTGACGGCCTCCCACCCCGCCCACCAGTCAGCTCCCCCGGCAGGGAGCTTGGGAAACCCAGCCGCAGGTCCCAGGTCCCTGGTCCCAGCTTGGCGTCCCCTCGCTCCGGGGAAAGCCCTGGTTGAGCGATGCTGCCACCTGCCGGCCGAATCCGGGAAGCACAGCACGCCTAGAGGACTGGGGCGCGGCCGCCAAGGGTGGGAATCCCGCCCCTCCAGGCTGGGACCGCCTGCGCGGGGTCTTTCCAGGAACTCGAAGGGAACTGCTCGCCCGCGCGGAACCTCGCTGGGCTGTGGCTCAGCCCCACTTCGGACCCCGGGGCACATCTCTGAGCCCTGGTTCCTTAATTGCCCCTGTAGTCAAAAGGAGGATGTGTCCAGACACCTCCTCCCAGAATTTCAAGGGAGATGGAGGGACAGGGTTGTACCAGGACTGTGTTCCTGGTCCTTTTCCTTCCCCCGAAATCAACGAGGCCACGCTTCCCTTTTTTGGGGGGGTGGGGGACGGGGTTGCGGTCGAGTGGTGACACCTCTCCCTATACAGTCCCCTCAATCCACTCCAGAGCCTTCTCCCCTCAACCTCTGCCCTGCCCCCGCCCAAAAAGGCCGAGTGGGAAGCGACTCCCAGTGGCCCGGCTCCCTCAGTCTGCGTCCCCCTCTTCCCCCGCCAAGCACTGCACCCCCTCCCTTAAGCCTGGGGCCAGTTAGGGCAGGAGCAGTCGTTGGGGGTTGGGGAGGGGTAGCTTAGCAGTCTTGAATTGACCGCACAATTTTTTTCAATTAATCTCTTCTACTTCACAATTAACACCAACCAACCCGGGCTGCTTCCCCTTTCCTTGCCGACTCCTCCCTACCCCAAGTCCAGCCCATCCCGTGCAGAAGCTCCGCCCCCATCTCGAGGCGGGACCCCATAGGTGGAGCGACGAGGGAGAGGTCGCGGCCCCGCCTCCCCCGCCTTTCCCCTCCTCCCCTTACACAAGGAAGCTCAGTGGCCCCCACGCCAGGATGTCCCACGCCTGGGTCCTCGGCCTCGTCCCCACCTTGCTGCTCGGCCTGCTGGCCGGCCTCCAACAGGTGAGCGCTTGGGAGGTAAAGCTATAGAACTTTCAGGGCCGGACCCTTGTGGGTCTGGGGCCTGCGTCTAGAGCCGGGTCACCACCTTTACATTGTTAGGATTTCCTCGTGACTACATGTTGTTAGCCACCTCCTTTCTCATTTTTCCGGGGGGAGGTGAAGGAGGGGGCAGCGGAGGGAGGCCCTGAAAAGACCGGGGTTCCTTCACCTTGGGGGACCCGTGTCCTGGCCCTTGCCCACCAGCATCTGACACCTAGCGCCTGTCTGTGAGTGGGGACTTTGACCCGCGTTGGATAGTCCTTCCCGCTTCTTCCCGCAGTGTCAGGAGCGGGAAGTGTCTGGGACTGTGGTCTGGAGGCCAGGCCAACCTGCCTCCCCGGCTCTGTTCCCCCAGTGCTGGATGACCTTGGGGAAACCCTGGCCTTCTCTGGATCATTTATTTGCTCTTGTCCTAGGGGAGAGGAGGTTCCTTAATTCCTTTCTAGGAACAGGGCTGGGCTTCGAGCCGCTGGTAGGATTTGATCCGGCTGCTTGACCCAAGGCTGGGGTGACCTCTGAAATTTGGGATTCTGAGAGTGGACAGGCATGCCCTCATCCCTCACACTCCAGTGATGGGGGGGTTTCTATCCAGTCCTGGGCCAGGAGATCATCCTGGAAACCGATGTGAGTCTAGAAGAGCTTTATAACTTCTGCTGAAGATCCAAGGGAAGTGCCAGGCTGGCTTCCCAGAGCAGGGCACGTTGGCACGACTGGGCTGACCCTCAAGGCCGCTTTGCCCCTGAAGCCCTGGTCCTCCTCAATCACTAGGCACCAGTGTGTGCCTTCGCTAGACAGAGCATCCTCTCCTCGTCAGTTCCTCCCAACATCTCCAGGGCGCAGGCACGGCTGATGTCCCCAGTTCACCTGTAAATACAGTGCACAGCTATGCTCTGATTAACAACGGGTGTGCGTTCTCAGAAATGCATTGTTAGGTGATTTTATTGTGGGAACATCACCGAGTGCACCTACGCAAACCGAGATGGTCTAGCCTACTGCACACCTAAGGCTCTGTGGTACAGCCTATCGCTCCTCGGCTATAAGCCTGTACAGCATGTGACTGTAATGAATCCTGCGGACAACTGTAATAAATGGTAAGTGTCTGTGTATCTAAACATAGAAAGGATACAGTCAAAATACAATATAAACCATTGAAAAAATGGTACATCTGTGTAGGGCACTTACCATGAATGGAGCTTACAGGCCTGGAAGGTGCTCTGAGTGAGTCAGTGAGTCAGCAGTGAGTGAATGTGAAGGCCCAGGACACTACTGTGGACTTTATACACTCTACACTTAAGCTACACTAAATTCCTAAAACTATATGAGATTAAATCAAGCACAAGAGAAAATGATTCATTCAAGAGTCTCAGGCTCCCGGCCAGGTGGCTTGGTGGGTTGGAGCATCATCCCAGACAGCAAAAGGTTGTGGGTTCCATCCCTAGTTGGGCAGGTGTGGAGGGCAACCAATGGATGTTTCTCTGTCACATCAATGTTTTTCTCTCTCTCCCTTCCTCTGTCTCTAAAATCCATGAACACATTCTCGAGTGAGGATTTAAAAAGAAGCTCAGTAAACGCTAGATGTAAGGAGGCTGCTCTGGTGTAATATGGCTACTGTTTTACAGCAAACTTTTATAAATAGAAAGTGCACTCTAATGATAAAGAGTATAGTATAGTAATTATTAGTGACATAGTCCGTTTTTTGTGATTATCAAGTATCATGCACTGTACATGATGGCATGTGCTATATCTTTACACGAATGGCAACACAGTAGGTTTGTTTACACGAGCGTCTCCTCAAACATGTGAGTAAATGCATTGTGCTGTTACGATGACAATGATGTCACTAGGCAACAGGAATGTTTCAGCTCCCTTACAATCTTAATGAACCACCAGTATATATGCGGTCTGTCATTGACCAAAATGTAGTTATGTAGCACATGATGTAAGCTGAGGTTCCCCAAGATCATCCTGATACTTGATCAGACTCAGGCTCTGGACCCCCTCAGATGAGACCACCCCTGGTATAATGGGGGAAGAGAATCTGGGAGACGATCTCCTACCCCTCCCACACAGGAACTCAGGACAAATTAATTTAAGCTGTTCATACTTGTCCTGCTTAGCTGGGGGCCAGGAGAGGGAGGAGGGACAGGGCCTGGTATCCGAAGGGGAAGGAGCTGCCACTGAGTGCCCTTGGTCTGTTCCCAACTCTGCAGTGGCCTCTCCATGCTGTGTGGCCCTTACCCTCTCTGGGCCCACTTGCCCTAGGGATGCCTCGCCGCTCCAGTCCCCACCATCCGGGGCTTGTGAGAAGCTGGTACTTACATGGGACTGAATACAGAAAGGGGGAACCAGAGCAACTATTACTGGTTATCAATGGTATTCTTAGCTTTGCTGTTGCCATTAGCAGTTAAAATGTTACTGAAATGTTCAAGAAAAGGTATAAAGATAGGGTGGCCTGACCAAAGTTAGCTTCTTCTTCTTGAGTCCCAGTGGTTTGTCCCCGGGAAGCTGCGGTCCCAGATAACCTCCCATTCTCCACTGTGTCCCCACCCCCTCATTCTCCCCCAAACCGGGTCTGGGAGCGACCGGAAGAAATGAAACCAGGCAATCGATAATTCAATGAAGGCTCTTTCATTCATTCTGCCCATATTGTTGAGTTTTCAACAGTAATGAAACAGACCAAAATCCCTGCCCTGTGGCATTTACTCTCCACCTAGGAAACACATAATTAACAAACTAAAGAAAAATATGTAGTATGTTAGATGTTGATAAGAACTATGCAGAAAAATTAAGCACAGTGAGGGGAAGGGGAGTGGTCAGAGAGGAAGGTGCTGAAGCCAGCTTAGCAGATACCTGGGGGGAAATGTTCCAAGCAAGGCTTACACGCATAATTGCTATTAATTGGGTGAAATTCTGGACAGATACCCTGGATGCCCTGCAGAACTAGTGCGGAAGAGGTGGGGAGAGAGGAGCTGGTTCCGGAGAGGAGGGTCAGGGCAGCTTCAAAGGGGGAGGACCACAGCCCCCACCCTACGCCACCACCCCCCCTACCCCCACCAGGCAGGGATCTGAAGCACCAACAGGGTTCAGCAGACCAGGAAGGCATGGGGAAGAGGGCGTGCCCCTGCATGTAGGTGTAAAACAACCAGGTATGTTTAGGAAACTCCCAGCAAGTGTGTGTACAAGAGAAGGTAGCGGGGCTAAAGCTGGTCACGGGGGGCCAGGGCCCAGGGAGCCCCTGACAGGGGCTTCCAGCAAGGATGCAGCTGATCAGATTTTTGTGGACAGAAACTTGTCCGCAGTGTGGGAGCCACTCCAGTGGGCAGCAGGAGAGCTGCTGGCAGCCTGGACTGTAGACATCAGAGGCAGGAGCTTGCAGACCTGGGGAGGGGTAAATGTGTGGGGGGTGTGGTAGGGAGAGGAAGGAGAGCTGGGGGCCTCGCCGGTGGCAGCCAGGGCTCCCACCACTGTCCTGGGGAACATGGCGGGGGGAGGGGGAGAGCAGGCTTGGGGGAAGATGCTGATCCTTTGGGGATCCAGCTGCTGCCAGGTACCTGGGCAGCTTCTGAGTTTATGACCCCTAACCTCTGCTTCTTTTCTTCCACAGGCTGCAGCCGTATGTGGCGTCTTCTTGTAAGTCTGGGGTTTGAGCTACAACTCCCCAGTAGGGGAGGAGACACCCCAAACCTGCCCTGCCTGCCTTCCTGGGTGGGAGCACCCCATCCATCATCCTCCCCTGCTCCCCTTCCAGCCAGAAACCAGCCTCCCCTCCCCCCCAGAGGAGACCCTGCCCCCTCACACTGCTCCCCACCAGTCACCCCAGGGGGCGTTTCACACCTGTGGTCCTTCCCAAGCCTAAACCCCTTCCTTTTTACTGCAGTCTCAGGCCACCTCCCCTCTGAGACGACTCTGGGTGACCCTGGGCGAGGGGGCGATCAGTGTGCCACCGTAATGCATAAATGCCAGGAAGCCTGAGCACAGTGAGGAGGGGCTGAGGGCTGGTCTATGGGCAGAAGAGTGTTTCCACCAAGTCGGCACTGGATGTACCAGGGACACCCTCTCCTCCTCCGCTGCTCTCTGGGCCCCAGCAAGGGCTCGCTCCGCCTCAGGGAGCCCCTGGACACCTCCTACTCCCCCTCTCTCCACCACCACACCCAATCCCCACACCTCCCCTTGTGTAGATGAGGGAAGTGAGGCCCATAAGGAGCATAACTTGGCACAAGTGCACAAGGCCAGCAGAGAGATGCACCTGGAACCCGGGTTCCGATCCCAGCCCCAGCTTCCTCCCATTAAGCCCAGAGTGGGTCCCTACCCTCACCCCACAGGGTCACAGCTCATACCCTAAGGGTATGGGTGCATTTTGGGGAAGCTGGCGTCCTGCCTCCCCGCCTTGGTGACAACGGCCTCTCTCTGCCCCCACCCACAGCAGCTGCCCCAAAGGATTCAAATGCTGCGGCGACAGCTGCTGCCAGGATTATGAGTTCTTCTCGGGCCCCTTGAGGTGAGCCCAGGGCCAGCTCCTCTGGGCACAGCCCTCCGAGGAGCCTGGTGCACACAGGACAGACTGGACCTCCTGCCCTGGGGTGGGTGTGTGTCTGGGAAGGGAGGGAGGTGCGGTGGGGGTGGCCTGGAGACTGAGGCTGGTGGTTCCTCCCCCAGGACCTTCATCATCATCTTCCTGATCTTGGTGCCCATCCTGTGCATCTGTGGCCTGGCAAGGCGCTTCTGTTGCAACTGCGGAGAGCAGGAACAGCACCCCCGGATGGCTCCCATGGCACCCCCGCAACAGCCCCCCACTGTCCCTGCAGAGAGTATCATCGTGTCCTCCTCTGCGCCCCCACCCCCCTACAACGAGGTGGGTGTCTCTCCAAACCCTGCCCTGCTCCTTGGCCTTCGGTGCCTCCTTATTGTATCGATTTTTAGAGCAGCGGTGAGAGCGGAGTGCCCCCTTCCCCTGCGGAAGGCTCGGCAGCCGCAGTGGCTCGCCCCTTTCCCTGGTGCACCGCCAGCAGGTGGGTGGCAGTGGCCGGTGCCAGGCCCTAAAGAGACTCTTTGTCCCCTCTTTTCCCCGCAGATTATTCTGAAGCCTGTCCTGGGCCTGCCCCCCATGGGTCCGCCCCCTCCCTACAGCATCAGGCCTGAAGAACATTCTGGGGTCCCCAGGGGCATCGACAACCCAGCCTTCTGAGCCACCTCCTACCTGGAATCTGCCTCAACCACCTTCTCCCTCACACATTCCGGATCAAACCAGAGACAGCTGGGGCCCCTGAAATGCCCCTGCCCATCCGGCTATGTTTCTGGCCTTTCTTGGGTTTAACTTATTGTGTTTTCTGCCCCGTCCACACCAACTGTCTTTGTCCCAAGGACTGGGCTGGAGTGATAGTGCCTGTCTACCCCTCCTCCCCAACCCAAGTTAGAGGCTGCCAGGAGGAAAACGTCAACAGTTGGAGTTGATGGACAGTAGAATGGGCTACTCTGAGGGGTAGAGAGAGCCCCATACCTGGAGGCATACAAATCTCGACTGGACAGCCAGCTCTGAGAGGGGAAGGGTGCTGCTGTGCCGTGGGAGATCGGACTGCATGAGCTCCGAGCTCTCTCCGGCTTTCCCTGAATAGAGAAGGCCCCATACTACCCTACCCTACCCCCGCAATGTGTGTACTCACTAAATTAGCTGATTGCTGCTGAGAGTCTTGCTCTGTGGGGAGGTGAGCCTGGGGATGGGGAGGGCCGGCCGGCAGGGGAGGAAGTCATCACCAGGGACACAGGAGCCTGAGAAGACAGAACATCTGCGGGCCACCCTCTGAGAGAAGATCTTTACAGATGATTTGACCTTCCATTCCTTGCAGTCTCTGGGTGCTAAAGAGCCTAGGCAGGGAACAAGGGATGGGGTGGGAGTGACCAATGTGTGCTTCTGCACCCCGTCCTCCTGCTGCTGCCCTGGGGAGACAGCTCAGTTCCCGACTCACCCTAGGGGCGGGGAGTGGGAGGCTGGCCTGCTGCAGGGCTGAACTCCTGGAGACCCGGATCAGCCCCACCCTGGAATCTCCTGGAGGAACGAGAGGGCAGATCCGCCCTTTTCTTCCAGTCCGGGGCAGTTCCTGGGCTCCACCACTGGCTCCACCCACACAGTCCCCTGCTTAACCCTGCTGCTGGATTAAGCCCTACGAGGAAAGGAGCTGTCAGCATTGCAGCAGGATCTGCCCAGGGCCTCAGTCCCAGGGAGCCTGTGGCAGAACTGAGGAGCTGGGAGCCTGGCATGGCGCATGCAGAGAGAGAGAGACCCCCCTGCCCCCTGCCTGCTGCCAGCCCGTGCCTTGGGGCTCAGGCTGGACTCCCCCTTTGCACACCGACCCACAGCTCCCCTGCAGCCCGTGCATGCTGGCCTTCGTCAGCAGGCAGCGGCACAGCAGCAGCGCTGACCAAAGCTCCCGGGAGGACTGGAGGTAGGCCGGGCCCTGCACTCTGGCTGGGACGGCATTGTGCAGGCCTCTCCTAGTAATAGCCAGCCTTGGGGATGAGGGCCCAGGCAAGTGGCAGGGGCGAGGGATGGCACAGCCAGTCCCTAAAAGGCCAGGAACCGGGGTTGTCTGGCCAAGGGTTCCTGCTGAGACGGGGCCCAGAGGGAGCACTGCGGTTGCAGACAACAGAGTTGATAGTAGGAGAATGAGTCCAGTCATAAAAGTTTGAGGGATGCATCAGGGGATCAGAAGGAGGGCATGTGGGTGCTTTGTGTAAACCTGGCTAGCTCCAATGACGGAAGCCTGAGAGAGACGCGGCCCTTGCTGTAGTGAACTCTGACCCCAGTGGGCGCGCCGTAAGCTGGGCTTTGGAGGACTCCGTCCTCAGCTTTCACACTCTGCCTTCTTTTCAGCGAGGCTGACACGGGGCCTTTAAATCCTCCCCGCAGCAGTGGTAGCAGTGGACTAGTGTGACCTTCCTGGAGGGCCATCTGGCAGTATCCGTTCATGCCACAGATGTTTTCAAAGATCCTACTATGGGTCTGGCACATGCCTGGCATTGGGTATTCATTAAAATTTTAAATACATGTGGCCCAGCAATTCCACGTCTAAGAAAATCCTTCAGAAATGCTCACACACAAAAGAGCTAGAAGAGAAGCCCATCACAGCATTCTAGCCGGGGGTCAGCATCCATTGACAGGAACCTGTCAGCTACACCAGGCTCATCTGTATTGTGAATGCTCTCCAGCCCTTAAAACGAAGAAGTGGATCAGAAACACCTACCTGGCACCATGTCCTTTGTCTTTTATTACAGAGAAAAGGCAAGTTGCAGAATAATAAACACCTACTACATCATATGTATTATATGTATTTACTTTGCAAATGTGTAGGAAAGATCTAGAAGGATATAAACGAAACCACACTTGCCCACTTTCTACAGTGGCTGACACTGGAATGGAGGAAAGGAAGTGTGTTTTGTCATTGTTTATGTTCTTACCATGAGCAAGCATGGCTTTTGCACATTTAAAAAAGGATTTCTTTAATGGAAAACACAGGCAGCTTTAGAAGTTAATAAAAACTCATTTTGTGAACTTCGATCGATGGCAATTCATGTATTATCAGCCCTGCGATGAGTAAGAAGCTGGAAGAACTCAGACATGACACACATGACAAATATGTGACACAGAATGGATCCACAGTTGATAGAGGAAAGCCTGGACCTCTCCAGAAATGTGAGGACACATGGTGCCCGTACGCGAAACCTATACAGGCCTGTGACCGGCACTCAGTGTGTAAAGGACATCTGGCTGGTTGGTTTGGTGGATAAGCGATTTCATAGTGACTCAGAATTCACTCCTCTGGCTTAGTTTAGCAGCTCAAATGCAATGAATGAATAATAAAAGATGAAATCACTTTGGACAAAAGAATGATTACTTGAGTGAGTGAAGGAATAAACATGAAGATCTGCTGTCAGACATTTGCAAAGATATAGCTTGGTTAACACCAAGAGGGTGCTCCCTGTGGCTGTGGACTTGAACTTCTGTCTGCAGGGGACTAGGGGGTGCAAGAAAAACTGTGAGGGGGGAGGGCATGCTGGGGTGCTGGGGGAGGACCTTATGTTCCAGGGTCGGAGGGAGAGAGGGAGGGAGGAAGGGAGAACAGAGCTCTGCTGCAGGGGGTCGGGGTGGGGGGAGTTGGGGCGGCACCAGCAGGAACCCACCCCATCCTGGGACTGAGTTTCAGCACTCCAGCTTCCAGCATTTCAGCTGGAATTCCAGCATTTCAGATTCTGCACCCAGCATATTTCCTGGTCTCGGTTTTCCCGTTCCTGCAATGGAGAGGGTTACCCCTTCCAGCTCAGTTAAGCTGTAGCTCTCCAGTTTCCCAAGATGGGAGGGGCAAAGGAGGCCAGAGAGTGCATCCGCTCTGCCTCACCCATACTTCCCAATGGGTAGACCTGCTCTTGTCATCCTGATAAGTGCAAACCGCCCTGGCCAGCCCCTCCTACTCCTCTGCTCCAGAGCTATATTAGTCCCACGCTAGCAATCCCTGAGCCCCCCGAGACCTCCAAGCCACTGGCCTTAGCTCCTCAGCCTCTCAGCCCCGCCAGCCTTGTCCTCACCACCTTCCTCTTTCTCCAGCTTGGAGTCCTTGACCCAGCCCGCTAATCACGGCCCACCCTCTCCCCACCCCCGCCCTGTCTGATGTATCTAACTCCTTTACCCGTTTCTCCATCCACCATACTCACCTGGCAAAAACCCAAACTCTGGTTGAAATCAACTTTTGCTCAAGAGCCAGTACACCTGTGCGATTGAACGCACTTCAAAAGTAAAACTGAATCTCAAGCAGGCCCCCGCCCCCGCCCCCATCACACCTTAGAGGCTTGGCTTCTTTCCTCTGGAGGGAGACTAATCACGCCTTCTACTCTCTTTGAGTCTCCCACCGTCCCTGCCTCCATCTCAGCCAGAGATGGCACCACACAAGTCAGAGGAAAAACGTATGTAATCACAAGAGAACCACCCAATCTCCCCTGGCCCCCACCTCTGGTTACAGTGGGAGCCACATCCCACACTACCAACCGGACTCCATCCCTCGGGCCCTGTGAAGGCCTCCCTCCTATAGCTACTCCTGTATCAGCCATTTTCCCTCATTACTGGGCCTTTACCACAGGATCTGTACGTAAGTGAGTCTCACCACCCATCTTAGAGAGGACCTCCCAAGACACTCCCAGTGCCGCAGCGTGTGCCGTTCTACTTCCTCCTCCCCAGCCTTACTCCACCCAGCTCCAGTTGGCTCTTTGTCCCCGTCATTCTGTGAATTGGCTCTTGCCTATATCGCCAGTGACTTACATCCTGCTGAAGCCAAAGCTCAACTCTCTAGGCTCCTTTACTGCCTCTCGGTGGCATTTGACATACTTGGCTCCTGCCTCCTTCATGAAAAACTCTTTTGTGGACTTCCCCAGTTTTCCTCTTACCCATGGGCTGCTCCTCCTCAGGCTCCTTCCCTCTCCCCTCCTCCTTCACGATCTCGAAATGATAGTTGCCCTGGAGGTTTTGTCTTTGGGCCTCTTGTCTGTGTGTTCATTCACTCCCCACTGTGGGTCCCATCCTGTTCTGTGGCTTCATGGATCATCGCAAATCTTTATCTCTGTCCAAGATTTCTCCCTTGATCTCCAGACTTATATATTTAACTTCTACTTAACTACCTATCACCTCCACTTGGATGCCTAATGAGCACTTCACAGCCAAAACTAGGTCTAATTTCCCTCCACCCCACTCCAAATCCAGCCCTTCCCAAGTTGACACATCATAAATAAATGGCACCACCAGCCAGCCAGCTGTTCTGGCCAAAAAAACCAAGTTACTCTAATTCCTCTCTTTCCCTCACCTCCTCACGCTGCCTCTAAAATACTCAGGTCCACTTTTCACCATTTCACAGTTACAGCCCTAGACCAAGTCACCATGAAGTCCAGGCTCTCCTAAAGACATCCTGACTGGTTTCCTGTCTCCACGCTTGTCTCATCCTGCCCCCTGCAGTTCATCCTACGTACTGCAGCCAGGGAGGTTTCTCTAAAGCACACATTCATTCAATCAGTGCGCTGCAAGAGGCACACTGGTGGGCCGCCCGATTTTTTTAAATATGCAATACCTGACTGTTTAGTCAGGCGCACTGACCTCTTTTCCCTTAGACTATCGAGTGAAAAAAAATGACAACAACCAACCCAACAATAGCCATCCAGTGTGAATGAACTAAAATTATACATACCTATTTCTTGTCAGATTGGCAAAAAAAAAAAAAAAAAAAAAAAAGTATTTTTTGGTGTGCCACAGAATTTTAGTAATTCGTTTATGTGTGCCATGAGATGAGAAAGGTTGAAAACCACTCCTCTAAAGCGTAAATAATACGTGTCATTCCCCTGCTTAACGGTCTCAGATGGTTGCTCATTGCACTTTTAATAAACTCCGAGCCCCTGACTATGGCCTTCAGGACTTACAAGGTGCAGCGCCCCTCGCCTCCTCCCTTCTCACTGCATTCCAGCTGCGCTGTCCTGTCCTCCGAGCCTTGGCTGTCCCAAGTCAGTCTGGCTCAGAGCCTTTGATGGGTTTTCGCTTGGAAACCTCCCTCCTCCCCCATTCCCCCACCCACTTCTCTCCCGATCTTCACAGGGCTACCTTCCCAGGCTCCGACTCCAGCCGCCACCTCCTGGGCGAAGCCTACCGTGGCCACGCTGCAGAGAGCCTCCTCTTCGCTTTCTATCACACAGCTCTGTTTCGTTTTCTTCACAACCTGTTTCCTGCACCGCAAATCGCCTAATCTATCTCTGTGCTTACGCGCTCACAGTCTGT